GGGGATGGTGGAGGACAGGATGAGCCAGGTGTTGAGGAAATTTTGGCCAACGGCTCCTTCCCTCCCGCATGAAGAATATGACCCTTACTCCCTTTCTCGACCTCCTTCGCCAACCTCCTTTCCCTGGTCGATGGTGTCAACAGTGTCGTTGATCCTGGTACTATGAGATAATATTGTACAATAAGACACCTTAGCCTCTCCCTCGATACCCTCCGGAACTGGCGTCGAGAAGTGCGGTAGGCGGGAAGGGTGGGGGAGGGAGGGGGGAGGGGAAGGGAAAGAGTGTGTGCCACTGCTGATACAGCAAGTTTGAGTGGCAGCCCGCTTTAATTTTTCAAAGCAAACCCCACAGTCTCCCTAGAGCCCCCCTCCACCGCTAAATAAAGCCCGCTGCTTCCGCCAGAGCAAAGACCCCCATCAAGGAGTCGACCACGGTTTGCCCTGGTAAGGATACTTACCTCCTTCGGGTTTCACCTGTCCACGAGGGCGTCTCACTGGTGTGCCAGACGGAATGACCGAAGAGGCTCGTCCATGATAGCCAACTGGCAGCCATTTCCTAAATTATTTTAGACTTGGCTCCGGACCGCAAACTAGATACCCCTTATAAAGAAGTGAAGGTAATCAAAAGTGATATAAGGAACGAATAACGGTGGTGATATCTACGAAACAGTCTCGTACTTTGTTAAGGCATTGGTCGCGATCAAAGTGGTATGCTAGTTCCGCTTTAGGAACTTCTTTTCCTGTGAAATCGACCGAAGTACAACGGAGAGAAACAGCGCCGTGATGAGGAACACGAGAGGGCACAGACACCTCGTGTTCTACGAATGAGTAAAAATGACAGCGGTTGCAGCGGTCAAGGCGGGATCTTAGCGCCCTTGCCGCGCCTTTCTAGTCCCGAAAGTGCCACGAATCCTATGCTAAGGGACCCTGTACTTCATTCTAAGGCAAAATTGCTCTCAATGTTTGAACGCGAACAGTAGCTTTAACAGTGTATGTCACGGTCTGCATAAAGGTGCGCAATTCCAGAGGTAGACCAAAAAAGAAAAAGGAAAGGATTTATATAGAAGTAGTCTGTACGAATGATGGTTGGAGTAGACATTAATAGTGGTTAGCGTGTATGTCATCGGCGATGTTTTTGGCTAACTGCCTATTGGACAGCACGCGTTTGAAGTGTGCGTCGCTCTCTCTCACTCTATCTTCCAACACACAAAATTCTATTACGATCCTTCGGAAGTACTTTTCTTACCGTAAAATGACAACATCATTCTAAAAACGCTGGTGAATGATAAGGAATAAACAAAGGCTTGGGGAGAGGTTTCAGATGGATCCTCTGCAATCAAGCCAGGCCGAAACTCACCAGTTAGGCATAAGAGCGTTTTCCTTGCCGCGGAACATGATGCCAACGTTAGTGGCGTGATAGATCGACGAGTAGAAGTCGGTGTAGTCTCCTGAACAAAAATCCTTTAAGGCACATTTCACGAATTGAGCGAAGCAAATCCGCAAGGTGGACCGGTCCCTAAGCGCGATTTTACAGCGCGAATGTTTGAGGACGTTGGCAGGTGGATCTGAGAACGCCTGTTAGGCCAGGATCCCTCACGAAGGAAGGGTGAAATGGACTATGTTAGAGAAGTGAGGAGGAGAGGGAGTCGTATGAGGACCCCTCTGATGCTAATGATTGGGGGTAGGGGGAGAAAGGGTTCCCTGGAAGGGAGAGGCGGAGTTGAATTTCCTAAGAGATGCGAATATGACGGCTGACCCTCCCTTTACTCCCCCTGTCCCACCCCCTACCTAAATATAAAAGTTGGCGTACGCACCAGTAGAACTCTGCGCCTTACTTGTTGTTCTTCGCTAATATCCTCATTGTGGCCTATTCCCTTCTCCTTGGCACTCAGTATTTCGCCGTGAGCTCATCCGATGCTCTCAAGCAAGATAGGGCTCTGTTAGGAGCGCTGGTTTTTTTCGCATTAACGCGCATTAAGGGACCACAATTGATCCCCACATCTATCTATGCCCTGCTACAAAGGAATGTTTTCCTGGCCGTCTTTCCTAGGGCTTTCTCATCATTCATTTCCAGCAGTGAAAAAATCTAGTGAAAATTTCAATCGTTTTCCTTCCAGCGCAACCCACCGATTGTAGCAGGAAGATGCATGGTGGCGTCCTTTTGGCTCACAATCGCCTTAGCTCTCAGCTCCGGATTTTCCTTGAGTGTTGGGACATCGTCTCGGAGCAGCTTCTGAATAATCGCCCGAGCTTCTACCCACGCGGCTCGAGGCAAGCCCATGAAGGCATTCAACGTCTCCTGAAAAGCTAGCAATGTTTGTCTTCAGCTAATTTTGAAAATTTATATAAGCCTTGTCATAGCACTCTCCAAGAACAATGAAATGTTTTGAAATTTACCTGGGAAACATCATTTGTGCTGCCTCTTGTTTATACATCACATACTTTATTTATTTTTATTTATTTGTTATTTAAATATGCCTATTAAGGGATACAAAACCATTAATAACGTTGACTACAGAGTCGATTAGCAGCTCACCTCCACATACTTAAAGCAACCACGTGCAACAGCTGTTAGGAGGCGGCCGGCGAAGCCAGTACAGTAGAGAAAAAGCCACAACGTGCTAGGAGGTGAGGCTCAACACTTCCACCAATGTATGGCTCAGGGCAACCCGCCTTCTCGATAAAGTCACTATTGCTAGTGAGCTAAGCGAACTATTGTCATTATGAGTGTACGCTATTGTTGAGAAATATTTTTGATGAAGAGAATTCCAACCCTTTTGGGTTAAATTATGTTGAGTTATCAAGAGTATGCGGTCTGCGCCAGTTTTATGCCTGAAACGTTCCGCAACCGCTCGCGTCAGGTTTTTGCCCGCTCACTTTGCAAAACTTCTCTCTTCTTCTCAAGTTCTGAGTTTTCTTACGGAGAAGACTAATTCAATTAGGAAGAGTTTCATAAATCAAGTAGCCAAACCTGTCTGAAAACGTCCTGATGTCCTTTCAGTGATAGACTGTCGAAGAGGTGAGCAATGGCGGAGAGGTCCAGGATCGATTCGCCAATCGCAACACCAATACGGTGTTTTGCCTGAAGTATCCCTTGTCAACTTCTACACTGACAGATGAAGTACTATCTCATCAAGGCCATGCAACTACCGTAAATGCACGACCACAATATATGCAAAGTACGCGCGCGGTTGCGCTGCAAACTCTACAGGCTGTCACACTAAACACGTAATGCATGGTGAATGCAGTTGCGAGTGTTCCGTTTCAGTGTTACCAAACATTCACCGGGGATCTGACGCAGTGTCAGGAACACCGCAGTGTGAAACGCTCTTTCCTTCCTACTTACCCTGTTTTCTCCCCCCCCTCCCCCTCCCCGCCTCAAAACCCATTGCAAGTCAAATAAACCCCGATGAGAGTTATGGGCTAACCAGTGCGAGTTGCTGGAGGATCAGCCGCAGAGTCATTTTTATTTCATTTGAAAAAAAATTTAAAAATGGGATTGATGACAGCTTACAACTCACATTGTCTTTCGTGGAGAACACTCCATAAGGAAGATTTTGGATCGGGAAATCCGAACCTTCAGGCACTGGAATGAATGACTTCATATCTAAAACATAATGGTAGACGATTTAGCATCAAAGAACAGATAGACGGCGAAAAAGTAGTAATTTTGAGCAGTGAGGAGTACAAACTGATGAGATAGGCTATAAGATGTAGTTGGCAATTGCCATTTAATAAGAAAGAGTGGTTACAAGACTTCTGTTAACCACAGTGTGAGACTTTAGATAGAATACATACGCTTTAGGTATTACTAGGACTGAACCCTAAAGAAAATAAAGAAAGCAGAGGTGAGAGCCTCCAGACAGCACTACAAAACCCTGAATACCGTGGCATCACGGTTGACAGAAACCCGGAAGCCAGAAAGAGTACTCTTCTTTCAATTCACTATAGAAACACTGACTGGAGCTTGCGGTTAAGGTTCCAAGTTGATTGTGTCCTATAAATTGGGCACGACGATTGAGGCGCCCTTCCAGTAGGGCTAATAGGTTATGCTACTGAAGGTAATTCCAACTGTCATAAGGTTGCACACTCTTGCAGTTTCTGCCGAACAAAGTTTTATAGCTTGAAAGAAACTAAAGGGTGATGGAGTGAAAATAGCGGGGTTCAAATGTGGAAAGAGAGGTATTATGTTACCCTACAAAAAAAGAAGCAAAATAAGCAGTTGAAAAAGTCCTTAAATAAGGATCGGTCTTTGTAGCTAATTTGCGATCACTGCACGCAAGACTAAGACATAGAAGAGAGCGTATCTCCAAAAAAGGGATTCAGACGACGAGTGGACAAGAAAGGATAGAGACAAGATGGATAAAACCTGAACAAGCTCGCGCGAGCCGATAGCGCCACTTCTTTGCCACCTTGTATTGCAGTGATGACACATTTTGTCTCATCCAGCACCTAGCCATGTTTTCTTGATCTGGCAAATTCCATGATGGTAATGTGGAATGTGCCATTAAGTTCGGCAGAAACCACCAAATGTTCAATCTGCTGTTCATTACTTCCTGTTAAATCCTTCTTATTACTCACCACAGACCAAAGTGCTGTTTGCCTGAAGGGCGGGGGAGGGGGAGGGGAGGAGTATTTCGATGCGGAACTGGTTAGAGCAGTCTACGGGCTACTTGACTCGTACCTCCAAGCAACAATATGCTGCCTTCCTCAGCGGTCCCTCGCCTGAATGGTGGCTCATATAGTGATCTAAAGTGACTTCGCACTTTAAAATTTTGCTATATATGAAGTAGCTCACCCACCTACCCACCCCCCCCCGCACTCAATATTCTCCCGAATTGCCTTCATCAACCCTCCCTCCCCCTCCTTCCCCTCCGCCTGGCTCGTATCTGCCATTTGGACCGTTAGAAGCTGCGCGTAGGGCGGCGTTCTCTGGCCGTCTGCGCTCTATCTTTTCGGTAGAGAACATAGAGAAAATTCAAAAAGTCACGTAACCGGTATTGCGAACAAATTTTAAAACCCAATTTTGCAAGGAACAGACCCTCATCTGGAAAGTAGTACAATCCTACGTTTGATTTTCTTATTTTAAACGGCACAAGGGTATTTCCCGAAAGGATATAAGCTCCAGATGGGTGAACAAACTTACACAAGAAAGATGGATTTTCGCTTCCTCGAAGACTAATTCACGCACTCTTCCTGTTCTCACATAGGCTAGGGTGAATCCCGATCCTCCTTGTTTGCCTTGGTTGCTCGGTATGGGCATGCCCCCTCTAAGTAGACAACGGTGAAAAACTGTTCTGCTTACATAGTCGTGCACAATTGGTTGTGAAAAATGGTCAGCGAACAAAATTTAAGATCTTTAGCGAAAATTAGAAATTTGAGTAGCACTTTGTAATGCGGAGACATCTCTCGAAAAGGTCTCTTTGGTTTTTTAAAACAGAATCGATTGGTTTTTAGAAAAAAAAAGGATTCGCAGGGTCGAATACAATTTTATCGTGGGAAACGATCGATATGGGTCCGACTGCCGAAATCGCTCGATGCCATCGGTGACCTTTGCTTTCGTCGGCCACATCTCCGTAAAAATGGCTACTATGGCAACATTGGAATGGTCCTAGAAATAATACGAACATATTAAAACTCAAATTATTGTGATAGAAGTAAATTTTCAACTACTTGAAATTTGAAATGTCCAATTCTACAAAACACAACTTTTTTGATTTTTTTTTCAAAAGGTATCCCGTCATTTCACCCATATTTTAATTTCCCGCTGGTTATTGGATGGAAACATATTAAGCACAAGCATTTATATTCCCAATGCATCAAGGGGGAATAGCTGGCCAAGCGGCAACAGGCGCCATTGCTGCACTGAAGTCGCAGGATCGGCATCCACCGTCGACCTGGGGCTAATTTTCGGTATCGTGTTTGGCCACAAAGGTCAGGGGACCGTTACACATTAACTTGCCCTCAAAATTCCTGTATGAACCACGTGTGTATTCAAACGCTTCCATGATTCCGAGTGGAAATGGAACACATGGCGCATTCCAAAACCCAGTTAGTTTTTTACCAACCATTTTATATCATCCATACGATGGAAGGAGTGCGTAGAAAAGAAATGTATATTAAATAAGGTCAAAAGTGTGCCCTAGCTTTATGCTGGCCATCATGAAAAAAAGGAAGAAAAAGAAAAGAGGTGGTCGCAACACCGATGGGCGCCACCGACCGAGGTCGTTTGACCGCTATCAAATGCAGAACAGGACCGATAGCGTGTGTACGACGCATACACGAACGATAAGGTTTTTCTAGCAATGAAAAAGGCTAGGAAGTAATTGGTAATCGAATAATCTACACTGGTCCCTGTGTAAGACCACAGAATTTTAAATGCAGAATTTTTGAAGAAAAGACAGCCTATTAGAAATCAAGGTATGTAGAATGATCAGTGTGCACGGATAAGACCCCCCTCCCCTTCACCCTTGTCGTAGACTTGAGTATTGGCCCTAGTCTCATCGGTGCTGACGTCACCAGTGTGAGCGCTCTGCTCTACGTCCCTGCTGAAGCCGTCGAGCCCGTGGCTAGGGTTCGACGGTGGGCGATTAGCCGCTCGGTGGGCGGGAAAAGACGTGAGCGGCGTGAGGGGTGTCCCCCAAGAGGCCCATCGCGCGGCGAAGGAAGAGACGCAGACGCGGCAAAGGACGAGTCGCAGCGCATACTGTAGCGGTTAGGCGTCAGGTTAAATAGAGTGTACCATACTACGTCTCATATCGCACAGCACGCGCTGCGACTCGTCCTTTGCCGCATCTGCGTCTCTTCCTTCGCCGCGCGATGGGCCTCTTGGGGGACACCCATGAACTTTCTGATATGTCTCCCTTTGTTTGACAAATTTTGCATTCAAGGTTGACGCTTGCCATTCGCGCAAAATGGAGTTCTGATTGTTCTGGTTGGTTCTAACTCCATTTTGCGCGAATTTTGGAACGTCAACTTGCAAAAATTTGTCACCACGAGGAATCGAACTAGGGACCCCTTTTCTGGTATTCAGAGGGCCGTTCAGGAAAAATTAACATGGTTCTGTGGTTCCCGCATCTGCCCCTATATCATGCAAAAGACCGTTTTCAAAAAGCTTGGCACGCCTGAAAGACCTTCCTGGTAAGGTCGTGTAACCGGCCAACACGACTATTCTCTGTCTCAAGGTGGAATGCGGCTGCAGGGGGTTTTCAATCGTTGAGGGGCCGGTGATTCCCCCTGCTATTTTTCCTGAAGATTCTGTACCTCTAGCTTTATTACTGAACGCTCTTACACACCCATTTCATTTGAGGGGTTGCCTTTAAGTTATAGCGCCAAGTGGGGGTCTCCATCGCACTTGCGATCCACTTCATATTTCTCGCGTAAGGCCTTCATTTCGCCCAGTAATCCTGAACTTTGTCTCAGAACTTCGATCGATCTTCATGGGATCTCCTGGGAGGTCTGTTTTTCTCTGGTGGTGGTCAGTTGTTGTCAGAGCCGTCAGTCATAGTCGTAAGTCATACGCGAATAAAAACAAGTGTCTTAAAAATTGCGTGGCC